GGAAAGAAAGCGAAAAGAAAATAGAAGATTTGGTTTATTCAGTGATACATTAAAGATATAATCACTGTTGCTTTAGAAAAGCAGTTTATTTCTTATCGAAATTATCATGCCATCTAGTTCTGAATCTATTTCAAAACTATTGCAGTCAGGAACACAGATATACTTTAAAAACAAAACAATTAATTATAATCTTTTATTGAAAAAAATAATATAGCAGAGCTCAAAAAGCTACATTTGTTATGCTTTATAAGGACAGAGGTTTACACAGGTTTTATGTATGTACACACACGACATTTTATCACAATATCATCAGCACCTTTCACTGCCACAGTGGTAGGTAATGAATAAAACTTATCCAAATTAATCTTTTAAAAAAATCTAAAACAGTACAGTATATTTTAGGCTTATGTACATATTTGAAACATTTAGATATTTTAAAAACATTATTTTTATATGTGTATCACAATTATCTGTAGTTCTCAAAATACTGTGGTACCAAACATCTGTTTGTCACATAACAAAACACAGGATGCTGTAATCTATAACCAAGCACCAGTTAAAATCAGCATTTAATTCTCCATCAAACTAAGAGGCTTCTAACACATGCAAAGTGAAGTGAGTATTTAAAAGAACCATTGAAACAATTTAGGGCCTCAATTTTTTTTTTTTTTTTTTTTGCTTTAATTAGCTGATTATTTTAGAGAAAATGGGAGGAAGTGGGTGATTTAGGTCAATGCTTTTCTGTTTGATGGAATCCTAGGGCTTTTAGAAGAAACTTTCCAGGCACTGGGGAAGATTTGGGGAATAAGCAGGTCCATTTCATGTCTATTATATGTTGGAGCTTTACATATTATTGAGATCATAAAAGGGATTCTATTCCTTTAAAATAAGTTTGAAAATACTAATTTGGAAAACTGCTTCAAAGTATATTTCATTTGGTTATGCTAATATAGTTTAAGAAACATCTCTCAAAACAGATTATCACACTCAGTCAATTAAGTATCTCAACTGAAAGTTTACCTAAGAATATTGCTTTCATTAATTACTGGTGATATAATTCTAAGCTTTTTATAGACATTTGTAAGGCTTGAGGACTTTGAATGGAATAATAAAATCTTATTGTTAGCTCAATAGTATGACCAAAGAACCCTATTAAATAATAGACCAACAAGTAAAGATGGAGAGATAATCCTTTTATAAATGGAATTAATCATTTCAACGTATCTCCTTTTTATCTTATGTACTATTCTATATAAAAAATGATCGCTTCTGAAAGTGAGACACATTTATAAATATCTTTGCTGATTTTAATTATAATTGTATTTCTTATATAAACCAAATGAAAAAAATATATTTTAGTAGTACCTAGTTTAAAAGAAAACACTTTAATAAGCACCACAGAACTGGAAAATCATGAAAAACAATATTATTTAGGAAAGTGAATGCCAAGATATATTATCTCTCTTATCCTCTTAAAAAAGTATGTCAATGGAGTCAAGTGTTTTTAAATGCTGTCATATTTAGAGAGTATTTGAGAATTCTAATATTGTGCAACTTAAATTTTTATTGAACAGAAAGCAATAGTTTTTGTTGCAGGCCAAGTAACCTGCAAGAATTTGTTTTTACAACCACCAGAGGGCGCAACTGCCTGCAGCATGGTTGGTGTAGGTGTAATCTAACCTTAATAATATTTGAATTTGGACATTACCAAGCTAAAAAATGCCTTAAAATTTTTTTGATAACTTTAAAATATATATATTTACATTCTGTAACACCTAAATAATATTGGACTGTTAGATAAAAAATAGAGTTCACTGGACTATTTTGGGGTAAGGTTAATTTAACAGGATTTTATTAACATTTCTGAGTCAGGAATTGAATGGATAACACTTTTAACAAGGACTAAAAAGAGCATTACTAAAGCTGTTAACACTAACAATTCATTTAGCACCATATATTTAGCACCAGAATAGATAATGATAGTTCACACTTGATAAAAACTTTAATTGCAAAAAAACCTCAAAACAGCAAGGATATGGTGGTTGTAATTCATTTTCAGCACCATTAACCAGTGAACTGTTACACTTTATAAGTTTTTGATTGACCTCTCATAAGTCAAGGTTAGACCATGACATAATATTTAAAAATATTTTGCATGTGTTTAAATATGTCTTCCCCATACATATGATGAAAATGTAAAAAATATATATAAAAACAAAGATGATGTCAGACTTAGATAGACATCTAACTGTACTCTCCCTAAACACTTCAGTAGGTAAAGATTTCCATCCAGTCAAGATTTGCATCCTACAATCCTGCAGAACCCAGGGAATGTTGTCATGCAAGTTGTTATTCTAAGGAGAACATGGACCACATTATTTTTCCTTCACGGACACATTCAAATTATGTTTAGCTTACACATTCATTTAATAAGTAGAGTATGAACACAACACACTTAAACTGGCCTATATGTGTATAAGATTTGCTGATGTAGATGTTACAAGTTGATTTAACACAAGCATGTATTAATGAGAAAATATATACTGTTTCAATTCAAATGTTCTTAGTAAATTGTATTGGTCGCACTTGCCCTAGTGTTTGGTCAACTCTGCTAAAGCTGCATGGAGCTTTCGAATGAATGTTTTCCATGAAGGTTTCAAATGAACATTACAGCACTGTCAAATGAAGGTGGTACGGAAGCTCTGATAGGCCACAGAACTGATGATGCTTAGACTACTGAACAGAAGCAAAAATGATAACAACAACTGTTTCTACCACTTTTTAAAAGCAAGCTTATCCCTCATAACCAAGAACATTAAGACTGTGCCTACACAGCTCAAATACAATTCTGTAAAGAAATCCATCAGTTTAACAGCTAAAATTGTCATTTTTCCAGTCTTTTGATGACATGAAAGCCAAAAAACCTATATTGCGACAGAATTTTTTTACTTTTCTACTGAATAAAGGGTGTTATGAAAAATCTATACTGTAGAGAGGATCAAGGCTGTAGAATATGTATGCCAATTACTATTTCTTTTGAATGAAACCTTTTGAAATGATAACCTCAATACTGACTATTTAAAGCTGCTCTTATTAAATAGCTTATACCCAGACCCTTTCCACCTCTGGGAATTACAGTGAGAAATAGCTATTCTAGCACCATTGTTGCATGCTGTGAAAAATATGACATGCTGTGTTTATACTAGCAAATTTTCATTTGCTTTAGCCTGGAAAATAAAACATTTCACACAGCCATTTTATATGACTAACTTTAAAAAGTACAGATAGAATAACAAATATACCCGTTATATTTTCAGCTGAGTTGTTAAATTATAAATAAACTTATAGTTCTAGTTGTGATTTGGAAAGGACTGTTGTGTAAGTTACAAGTATGTAGACCCTAGTCTTAATCTGATATGTTTGATGGTTAATCTGGATTTTTGATGTATTCAAAGCTTTGTATTTGAGACATTTTTGTCTTAAGAAAACATGGAAAGGTGGGATGCCTCTAAATCGTTGCAATTCTAGACTTTTTAGTTAATTCCAAAAATCCATTCATATAAACATTTATTACATTATAGCCACTATATAAGAAGCTGGGATAAATACAAAGAATTAGACAGAATTTCTGCCAAAGAGGAGCTCATGAAAAATTTAATTTTATGTCAAATCTCACAACATTAATGATAATTTTAATATTCATAAATTCTATTAATATGATAATTCTACCTTCATAAGAACCTCTGTGAAATATGTAGCAAATAGCATTATTCTTTTTTAGAACCGAGAAACCAAGCCACACAAGTAAATTAGCAACAGGACTGGAACTGGCAATAGTCATCCATGGTTTAATAGTACTTTTGCTACTTCTATAGAACTAGTCAGCAAAATCAAGGATGGAAATACTTTCTAGAGCAATCAAGCAAACACCCCACTAATGAGCTTTCTCTTCAATTACCTACTATATGTTCAATAAAAGTTGGATTGATGCCTAAATCATATAATTATTTCTGTTCTCCATTTTGTCTCCAAAAATATTTATTTTTAATGAAGTCTAGATATGTGCCCACAAAAGCAGGGTAGTATGATATCAAAACATTTGGTCACTATATTCAATTTGTAAAAGGAATCAGGACAATTGTTTGTTGTCATGTAAACCTAAACTCCAGATGGTGGATTTCTCTCCCATTGAATGGATTTAATTAACTATCTGTCATCTTTCAATGTCTCCACCCTAAGAAACTGCAAACGTGTAGGAAATTTTAAACAAGTAGCTTCCTTCTGTTATTTGTACTCTGGAACTAACCATGTTTACTTATTCCGTAATTCTATGGACGTGTTACATAATCTGAATCTCACACACACACACACACACACACACACACACAAACACACAAAATGTAATGTAAGTGTCTTGACCCAGGTGTTGAATTCTCCTCTCTGAAGTGACTTCTTTGAATGAGGAAATGTTGCATTTCCAAAGTCACATGAGTGAATTTTCATAGTGACTTTGATTTGATTTCCACAAGCAAACTTAATTGAGAACTGAAAATTATTCTTCTGTGTAGACATAGAAATAAAATTTAGTGATTAGTCCTTAGAAAATCATCTGAATAGGGACTCCTTAACAAAATCATAACTGTCTGTGGTGCGCACGCAGGATTTTTAATACGATGCACGAAGACCCATGATGGTTAGAGTCGTTCTCACCAACTAATGATAATGAAGAGAAGGAAGTGTCCTCTCGGCACCTCACGTGTTTGTCTCTGGCATCTTTTACCTCCTGCTGGCAGGCCTCCTGATATACTAGACCCTCAGGATATGCCCTTCTGAAGCTCTCCACTTGTTTGTTTTTTTTGTGTATGAGTGCAATAACCCTATTTCTGTGACTTTTTATAGCTGTCTCCTAAATCTTGTTTCTCTTGGGCCTCACCTCATCAGTTTTTTTAGGGTCTTGCTTTCTGCCTTCCAAAGTCACCACTATCTACTCTAATTCAGTAGTCCTGGGCAGTTGTTAATTCTTCCCTGCCTCTTCTAGTTCAGGGCACTGTAGCTAAATTTTCATGCTAGTCAGAAGCCTTACGTATTTCACAGTGTGGCTTATCACCTGTTCCACCTACAGGTGAACATCATTATTACATTACTTCCTCAAGGCTACATGAAAATCAATTTGTTAAAAAATAATAATTCACAGCAAAATCATTAGGCTGCATTATTTCCTGGATATTTTTATGAGCTTCTTAAAGGCAGGAACCATATCTCATGATCTTTGCATTATCAGAACATAACTGGCGGAGTGCCTTGCACATAGTAAGAACTCAACAAATGATTACTAATTCAACAGAAGAGATTAAGCAAAAGGCATGATTTGAAACTTACATAAGTTGAGCAAATCCTTTGGTGAACCCAAATAAGACCAAATATCTCCAAAATGAAATCCATGCTTAATTAAATTATTACATCCAGATATCACTGAGGGTTATTTTGCAAACTATCAATTCATGGGTATTATAGAAATGGGTGTGAAGGTGTCCCACCACCTCGCATATATTTTAGAATAGGATTTTTTTTTAATTTCCCTCAAGTGAACTACTGAACCATATTATTATCTATGTATTACATAATCTATTATATGTTAATGTATGTGTATATATGTATACGCACATACATTACAGCCCAAATATATATTTTATTCTTTAGAAACATAATTTCTTTAGAAAGCAAGTTTTGGAATTGGATGCTTCAACTATGTCAATACTACATATACAATATTTTAATTTAGGCTTAGTGGTCAGAAAATGGAAATGGATGTTTTGATTACCTCAAAAGATTAAACAAACATAGTAGAAAAACACTAATTTAGACAATGAATAATAAAAGGAAAACAAGATTATCATAAAATATGTATAATATGTGCAAAACTCAATATATATATATGCCTATGATTCTCAGAAACCATTCTATTTCCTAGAGGAAAAGATAATCTTATTTGAACCAGTATAGGTAGTTTGACGTTACTCCTGGAAAACAAAGGTTGTCGGTACAAGCTCCCCCGTAACTTGGAGGGCAAGCTGAACACGGTACCCCTACTTTATATGGTGCTTCTCCAATCCAATTGCCCCTAGAAAAAAAAAGAAAAAGATAGCATTACTGCTACTTGCGCATTAAAAAAATGTGATTGGTGGGGCCAGCCCAGTAGTGGCATAGTGGTAAAGTTCAGTGCTCTCCGCTTTGGTGGCCCGGGTTCATGGGTTCGGATCCCAGGTGCAGACCTACACCACTCATCGGAGGCCATGCTGCAGCAGCGACCCACATACAAAATAGAGGAAGACTGGCACAGATGTTAGCTCAGGGCTAATCTTCCTCAAGCAAACAAAGAGGAAGATGGCAACAGATGTCAGCTCAGGGCCAATCTTCCTCACCAAAAAAAAAAAAAAGAAAGAAAGAAAGAAAGAGAAAAAAAATATGATTGTCCTGAAGCAAATGATCACATGTAATGATCTTTTTGAGAAGTTTGTCATTTTAGAAAGGCACTAGAAGTTATATCCGTTTCTTATTCTTACAGTAAATTATTCTATATATCTTACTTTTTATATATTTTCTAAGTTAACATTATCTTAATTTAGAGATAAAAAGTGAGGCACTACAATGAATGGTGGCATAATCAGTGCTCTGACTCCAGGCTTGATGTCATTCCAGCCACCACATGTGTCTTCTTCCTGTAGCTTCCTTCTAGAGCACATAATCAGGCCATATTCACTTTTTAAAAACTCATGCTAATGCTATTCTAAGTTATATATATATATAGTATTTTCTGAGAGGCCTAGAAATGATGGAGCAAGAAGTTGTCATAAGTACAAAAAAATAGGTCATAAATGTCACAAGATTTGTTTCTAAAGTTAAAATATTTTAGATTCTCAATATTTATAAAATGAGATATGGAAAACTCAGTTCTCATAGTAAGGGAATAAGGGCTCATAGAAGCAATTAAAGATGATTCCAAAACCTTTTTCCCATACGTAAACTTATAGCTATTTTTTATCAATGCTTCGTTTTTTTCTTGTTTTTTTTTAACATTGGCCCTGAGCTAACAACTGTTGCCAATCTTCCTCCTTTTTCTTTTCCTTTTTTCTCCCCAAAGCCCCAGTAGATAGTTGTATGCATAGTTGTACATCCTTCTAGCTGCTCTATGTGGGTCGCCAACTCAGCATGGCCTGATGAGCAGTGCGTAGGTGTGCGCCCAGGATCCAAAGTGGTGAACCCTGGGCTGCCGAAGCAGAGCACACAAACTTAACCGCTATGCCACCAGGCCGGCCTCCAATGCTTCACTTTATTTTTTTGTGTGTGTGAGGAGATCAGCCCTGTGCTAACATCTGCCAATCCTCCTCTATTTTTGCTGAGGAAGACTGGCCCTGGGCCAACATCCATGCCCATCTTCCCCTACTTTATATCGGATGCCGCCACAGCATGGCTTGCCAAGAAGTGCGTTGGTGCGCACCCAGGATGGCCATGATTATAATAATACACCAAATTCTCCATTTAGGATAGTTAAAAACTGCCGTTGGGCCGGCCCCGTGGCTTAGCGGTTAAGTGCGTGCGCTCCGCTGCCGGCGGCCCGGGTTCGGATCCCGGGTGCGCACCGAGGCACCACTCCTCCAGCCATGCTGAGGCCGCGTCCCACATACAGCAACTAGAAGGATGTGCAGCTATGACAGACAACTATGTACTGGGGCTTTGGGGGAAAAATAAATAAATAAAATCTTTAAAAAAACTGCCGTAATGCCTTACTGTTATTTAGCTCCTTTAATTATGAAGGAGAAGGTAATAAATATATTTTCAGTAGCATGATGATTAGTAACTAGAGTAGTACTAAGGAATAGCATTATAGCCAGCAATGTAAAGAAAATGGAATGGTCAGGAGAAAATTTGGTTGTCAAGAGTGAAAAGTCAGGGTTGAAGATAAGACAGCAGTAGGTAAGAGGCTAAAATTTGAAACAGGTGGTTCTCATCTTCTTTAAGAACTAAATAAGATCAAGCAGTGACTCATGAAGTGTATCTACAGGACATGAAAATATCTGCTTAGATCAGTCAGGTAAAAATTCAGACTTTCATCTATAAAATATCTATAACAGAAAATTTATCTATAAAAATGAAAAAATGCTGATTAACATTCATATTACAAAATGAGATGAGATTCCAAGACTGCCCACCTCTATTTAGTTTATTCTACACTCTGCCCTCCAGATAAGCTTCCTCAAGCATAATTTTGGTAATGTCACATGGTTGCTCAGAAACATTCAATGATGCCCATTCTCCTATGAGTGTAGCTCACTCCTTTATCCTAATCGCTCCTGTTCTATATTTATAACCTTATTTCCCTCTTATTTACTCAAAGCTATGAAAGTATATGGACTCAGCCTATGCTATTTTAATTTCATAGTTTTCTATTTATTCAACATAACTTTTTGAAATCATACAGCACATATTTTTGGTAACACAAACTTAGAAATACAATTTTAGGCCAGCCCAGTGGCATAGTGGTTAAGTTCAGCATGCTCCACTTTGGCGGCCCGTGTTTGCAGGTTCAGACCCTGGGAGTGGACCTACACCACTCATCAAGCCATGCTGTGTAGGCGTCCCACATACAAAATAGAGGAAGATGGGCACAGATGTTAACACAGGGCCACTCTTCCTCAAGCAAAAAGAGGAAGATTGGCAACAGATGTTAACTCAGGGCCAATCTTCCTTAGGGAAAAAAATACAATTTTATTGTATGTAAAAATTATTACATATTATATTATAAACTTTTACATAAATCACATATTTTTATTGAATAATTATATTCAATAGTAAATCAATCCATCAATAAACTTATATTATTCATTCTTTTATTTTTTGTCCTATCCTATTTAATTAAATTCTCCTCCCTTCTCCCCCTCTCTCTTTCTCTCTCTCTCTTTTCTTTTCCCTTGAAAAACAGTTAGGCTTGAGATAACTTGATACTGGAATTGGAAGAATCACATTCAACTATCAGTCAAGATTTTAAAACTTTCTTCATTGCCTAGGTTTCAAAATAATGGTTATTTATTAGAACAAATATAGTGCCTTAACACAATATCTTAATCTCTTGGACCTGTAAAACAATCAGATATTTCATCAATAGTATTTGAAAATTCTAATCATTGGCCAAAACCAGAATAGTTAAATGAATGAAATAAAAACCTCTATCACCATTTGGATACTACTTGGCCTATTTATGTCAGGAAGAAGGGTAAAAGCTTAATAGAAAAATGTAAGGTGTGAAACTGAAAATATCAAATAAATGCAAAGGTTTAATGCTTTTCATAAAGCAGACACATTCTACTTTCCAAACCTTGCTATTCTAATAATTGTGAAGAGGGGACCATCGGGAAAATCGCTATTTTTCTAACTTTGCAAAAACACTTCCACTGGCATACTACCATATAAATGAGTAATGCAGTTATTTATGAAACCTTTTCTCATTCCCTCCCCATACTGGCAAAACTGGAGAAAATCTTTGTTTGGGACTTACTTTGGAAGACACCAAGAGAATCATAAATCCTTTGAACATTTTGGTATTTACTCCAAATGAGAACAGACTCATGTATAAATACTGGAACATTTTACCATCTCAAGAGTTATTGTTATCAAGAAGGCATTTTATCAAATGTTAACAAATATTTATTCTCACAGAGAATGTTCATAAATGACTATATTTTATAATTTTGATCAATTTTCACAATGCATTTTATGTATGCCATAGGATGAAATTACTGAATAATTTTTAACAGTGAAATTTAAATCATGGCAAAGCTTTAATTTAAAAAGAAGTCATAGCACTTAAATTTTCCCTTCAGATAATGAATACCTCCTCAACCATCTGTGGAATTTTTAAGCTATATTTTTAATTTTACTTTAAAAAAAAAAGGAAGAGGGGCTTGTTTTGTTTTCCTAGTGAAAAAGGTAAGCCAACATTCTAGTACTGATAGATGAGAATATTGTAATCTGGATAAATTCCCTAGAAGATTCTTTCCGATGCCTTGTATACAGCTATCAAAAGCCTGGCAGTACTGTGTTTATTTTACAATCACCATGACTAAAGGAAGACGCTGAGGAGAATTTAGTGAATCTCCATATCTCAAATTGTTTTGTCTACAACTTTAGCCTGGAATCCCTGTCCTTGTGAAAAGAAACCGTTCAGCTCATCATTTTTCAGGTATATGGGAGTGATGGAAGATTTGAGGATTAGAGGCCATTGTAGTTGTCTTCCTCATATTAAAATACCTACCAGACTGAAAATATTTAACTCCATTAAAGGTTCCAGGAAGTTGAATCCAACCTGGTACTTACTTCGGGGCATAGTTGCACACCAAGTAAACTGCACGTCTCCATACAGCTCCCCAAACGTTCATGTTTTGGCAAGTATGAATTGCACATCCTATCCGATTGGAGGTGGCCCAAACCATCTGCAAAAATAAACCAATATAACATTATTGAAGTCAGAACTAAGAAAATGTATGTTGACCAAAATAGTAAGAGCATTTTAAAGAAAATTTGGATCAAAAATTAACAAGACAATTGAAATAACCTGCGTATAATGTGTGCACATGGGGCCAAAACATCTCATAGGACATCTGGGGTTGCAATCCTGGGGGTATGGAAAAGCATAATCTTTCACTTCATCATACCACGGCTTGACCAACTGGAGAATTGAGCGATACCTAGATATCAAAAAAAAAAAAAAAAACGATGAGAATTTAGAGTACAGCAGTGGTAATATATAGTGGATTCATGTTAAATTGTAAGTTAATGCTTCCTTTTGAAGATTACTCACGGTGAATCAAGAGTATACCCACCCCTCACAATTACCATCACCACCTAATAGAAGCCTCTATTCCTCCAAGTAGGGCCAAGCATGAAAATGCCCAGGAGTGGAGCAAGTGATTCTATATTTGTCTAAGTATGTGTCTGGTCGTTTCAAAAAGAGAAATGCAAATATTTCGAGAATCAACATCTTTATCTTGTTTTATCTATGTCAAAACTTTCTTCCATCAGAATCTTATACACAATTAAGAATTAGATACACAAAAGTAGTTGCAATACTAGAATTCAGTGTGTTTTTTTCCTTAAACTTGAATCACTTTAATTTTAATAATAGCACTCCTGATTTTCCAACTCTATATGGAAGAGAATGGGTCTTTGGAATGTTGGATGATGACATTCCATAGTGATAGAAAAACTATCTTATCACTGGGAACAGCTTTTCCCATAGTTGCAAATACTTGGAGATATATATGTGTGTGTGTGTTTGTGTGTATGTATATACACATATATATGTAAATATACATAATTTGTGTAACACACACACATACATATACAGGTATATGCAACCATGAGAAAGTTGCATACACTCAAGAATAGCTTCTGCCAAAGTCAAGGGATTTTCTTGAGGTGGAAGAGACAGGATACAGGATATAACACATGCCTGATCTTTTCAGACTCTGTGAGGTAAGTGAAAAATACAGGCTAAGGGAGGGTGTTCCAAGGGTGAAAGGGGAGACTGGCCTTATCAGGACCTTTTAACAAATTAAATAATCCTTGAAGACATCTAAAACAGTTGTAGGCCAAGCATCAGTGCCTGACACATAGTGAGCACTCAATAAATATTGGCTGATATTACTTGAAATTGGTGTCACTCACCCTTGGAGTCCATAAGTAATAAAGTTGGGTGGGTAAACAGTATCAGTGACACTGCTTCCTACCTTCCAGTTCGTACAGATAGATTTTGGCCCAAAAATCTCAGTAAGTAAGAAGGTCCGTGGTCCCAAATGCAAGTAGCTGCCCAAGCCTCTGCAGATTTTGCAAGATTTTCATCCCAAACCTGTAAAGGGGAAAAATCTTCAACTTTACCAGGTTTGCTAGTAACAAACAAAAAGTAAGAGGAAAGAAACGGTGCTACTATTTCCTCAAGTTCTTTCAATTCTGGTTTCTGAGACTATTTTAACTAAAAGAAAGCAAATTCAGACCACTGATATTCAAAGTTCTATAACGATTCACCATGATTATACCACAGGAAACTTTATTGCTTTTATTGTGCCCTCTAGATCCACAGACGAGACATCATTTTTAGTAAAGGAGAGGTTAACAAAAATACTGTATCTAGATGTACCTTGGGGACACCTCATACTGACTAGTGAAATTTAAATCCACCAAAGTCAATTGATTTCCCCAAAGGACACGTTCACAGCAACAAGGAGCCACGCTATTAATATACCTTAAAAATTATTATGGTAGAATTTATTCAAATCTATTTACCAAAATTAATAATGTCTAATATTATATTGCAACTTTTAAAGGTCAAACTATATTACAGTGTAATAAATTCCATGGAGCCTTCATATTTTATATCATTTGAATCTTTGGCAGTAATAATAATATGAAAATTACATTTTAGTTGATATGAACTGGAAACAAAATCATTCTTTACACCATTCTTTATCTTTATGTTAAAAATAACTTGACTATGCTACATAAGGCTGCTATACAAATATGTTATGGTAAGGTTCAATTAAATTAAGAAAAATAGTCATTGTTCTTGAAAAAGGAAGTTGTTTAAATTGAGAAGGATATTATTGATGTGTAATGACTTTCTTTGAAAAAAATTGTGGGATAACATTTGAATGATTTACTGTAGATTTTTATTTTTATTGATTTGATATGCGTTTATATTAGTTACCATATGGATTAACATTTTCATCTCCAAAGCTGTATGGGGAAATTAAGCCAAGCATTTGTGGATCTGCCAATAATAAATCAACTCTAAAATGGTAATTTATTTTTTAGCAAGTTACAAAGTACAAAAACACAAAATAGAGAATATTTACAATTCTCGTAAGTAAATATAGAAAAAAATGCTTCAAAATTTCTCTCTAGTGAAAATATAATTTACTGAAGTATTTATCTGTTGTAAAGAATGATTTTAATTGAGTTTTACAGTTCAATATCATGACATTATTTCCTAAATTATTTATCTATTATGCTATCTGAAAAAATCTTGTTCAAATTGTGGCCAGACACTGATTAGTAGTATATTTTAGAAGGTAAACCTTTATATGAAGAAGAAGGTGACAGTTTTATAATTACTCAAATTCACATGGAGCTCCATAAGAAGGTGTATAGATGTTCTTCTACTGATCTTTTCATAGTCTCTCTCATTTTATCATTCTTTTGGTGACTTTCTCTTCCACCAGGCTGGGTGGAGACAAGCAAGACTTGCCTACATTAGGGTTAATAGCTATGCGTTCTCTATAAGTCATAAGCTTCCAAGACAACTCATGGGGCTGCTTGACCATGACGCTGAAAACGTTTAATTTTCCCCAAGGACAATGGGATACATAGATTTATTTAATATAACAATGTATTTACCTGAAAGGAAATTACTTTAATGACTGAAATAAAATGGGAAAAAATCAAAATAATAGATGAACTCTTCAAGAGACACTTTCACCCTAGAAGGCCATGGCAGCCACCCTCAAAAGAGATTTGTTATTCAGAAATTGCTTTAAATTAGAAAAACAAAATCATCTTAAATGAATTGACATAGAAGTACATTAAAATAAACTCACTAAGTTTATATGAAATCAGAATTATTTAAAAAGAATCTGGAGTAATTTTATGGTGACAATGGCCATGTCTCCTTTGTGCATGTAAAAAGAAAGATTACTCAAGGAGATATAGCAGGACACACTTTCCTTAGTTATCCAGAATATAATCTGTCCATTTGGTGGATTAAATTTAATGTGGCAAAATATTACATAATATCGTTTCAATAAATAAGTAATCAATGTTCAACAGAGTATCAAAAATGGAAAACATTCATGCTATAATATTTTAAGAGCTAGTGTCTATTTCTTTATGTATTTGTGTTTTTTTTTGAGTTGATATTACACTTTTTTACAATTAGGAAATTTTGTACTACTTTTTTCCTAGTTAATTGCTTAGCTCAGTAAAATAATCATTTGACACAAATTTTGTGAATTATTACTTCAAACTTCGTTTTGTCTGTAAAAATCTGGGCAAAGTATATCAACACCACCAAATAAATTTATAATGAAAATCATAGGGTCCTAGGACTGAAATTAACTTTTAAAAGCATTTTTTAACTGATAATGGATTTACCTAGTATTTATTCTTTTGAGGTTTTTAAATGAAATATGGATCAACAAAATATGGATGACAGTTCACCGAAATGTAAACCAGCACAATTAATTCACAAAGGAAGTCCAGATGGAATACCAGCATCAAATTATGTTCCCTGAAGGGCTCTAAACTAATTGTAGTCACTTGGGAAAAAAATACATCTAAGTACTATTTACATATTGAACTACAGTGTGCACTCAGATCAATAACTGCTAAAATTCCTTATTATAGTCCCATCCTAAAATGTCAGCACAGCATGGCACAAACGGCCAGCCCTGGTGGTCTAGTGGTTAAGATTCAGTGCTCTTATGCCACGGCCTGGGTTTGTTTCCCAGTCAGGGAGCTAAACGCCCTGCCTGTCAGTTGTCACACTGGGGTTGCTATGATGCTGAAAGCTATGCCACCAGTATTTCAAATACCAGTAGGGTAGCCCAGGGTGGACAGGTTTCAGCAGAGCTTCCAGACTAAACACACTAGGAAGAAGGACGTGGCCACCCAGTTCTGAAAAAGTTGGCCATGAAGACCCTATGAATAGCCGTGGAGCATTATCTGACATAGCACGGGAAGGTGAGACCAAGCAGGGTTCCGCTCTGCTGTACGCAGGGTCACTAGGAGTCGGAATCCACTCCTTGCCATTAAGAAATGGCACAAACAGCACTGACCTGAAAATCAAAACTCTTGTGTTGTAATCCTAATTCTACTGCTAAAATCATCTGTGACTGAGGTTATGTTAATTATTTTCTCTGTCTTCCAGTTAACTCATCTGTAAAACAAGGAGAAGGGATGAGGTAATTTCTAGGGTACCTTTCATCTTCAACGTCTCCTGATTTAACATACCTGAGCAGCCCCAGCATCAGAGCCAGGAAGGTCTATGTTATATTGGCCTATGACTTGCTCAGTTCTGGCCCTTTCCATACTGCAGAGAGAGTGAAACTAGATTCTTTCAAAAATAATGTAAAATATTTAAGTTAGTTAAGAATTTAAAAAGAAATTTAGCATGTACAATCCTATCTTTATATTTATTCATATATTTAAAAACGAAATATCGTGTATGTCAAAAAGATAAACCAAAAAGTTCATGCCTGAAAAATATCTTTACATGAGCATACTTTGTTACCTATGATAAGGGATTCTGACAGGAAGATAATGTACTTAGCCTTACCAATGTCTACCGTTTTAAGTGCTTCTATGTACAAACATCACAATTAAAATTTTGGAGAAGATAGCTGTGGAGGAGGAAGGATAACCACTTTCTTTCTCTCTCTGTGTTTACTTTGAGGGAACTGATGGGAGGGATTTGTGCCTGTCTCTATGTCCCAGAAGGAAGGTGCTGGAGAGTCTGATGGGCACTGGATGCATCCCGCCCAGAGAGCTGGTCATTTTCCTTCCTATGGGAAACATGACTGACTGTCCCTTTGATGCTCACTGCAGGGGAAGTCAGAAGTTCCTGCACTCTTTCTTGCATCTTTGTGCCCAGGAAGGACTCACACTCATCCTGTACAGAGGGAAAGATACAGCTTGAGTAAGAAGCTCTGAAATTTGGGAATTACATCAATCCTATCTACTGCTAAAGTTGAGATCCGCATATGCTGTTTAGACCTTTCTCCATGGGTTACAACTCCCAGGAGAAGATGAGTAAATTATTTCTCCCCTTAATCTCCAGTGGTATTTACATTTACGAATATAAGGCGAGGTCTTTGAAGCTTGAAAATAGCAAGCAATGATAAATTTATTTAATAACAATAAGAAATTTCAACAAAAAATTGGGGGCTGTAGGGAGTGGCCCAATATGACCTATTCTTTCCTATCCAGAAGCTCTAAATTGCAATGAGTGTTGCCAGCATAACTATGTAAAATAATTTTAACAACTTATAAAAGTTCAGGGAACAAAGAGGTAAATTGCCTAAGCATTTAACTTAATATATAAATTTCTGACTGCTTGATGGACAGTCTATCTGCTGAATTTCTCTTAGTATCAGTGGCATTTATTTGAAATGATTTTAATATTATAGCCTACAAATATAGCAACAGAAAAAGAAGGGCACACGTGTGCACTTATTAAATATTCTGTGGAATGCCTCATAACTATGCAATGTATTATTATCTTTTGTTGGAAAAACTAAATACCTGATACTTACTTGGCTTTTATTCAACCAGCTTCAACATTCTGTATTTCTAGTTCTTGCCCGTTTAAATAGATATATTCACAGATAATTTAGTTGTAAACACTTAATATCTCACCCTGCCTCCTATATTGTGCAAGGATACACAAAAACATTTACAGGACCTACTGGAAGTTAAATATAATGATTAAATTAGATAATTCACAAAATAAAGATGGCTTGAATAGTGTCAGAGCATGCATATGCTTGTAGGTGTACCCTATTGCCCCGAATGGTTTTCTTCCATTCTTTGTTGTTACAAGCCATTTAGTGGGCCAGCTCATAAATTGATTGACTTAGCTTTGGACTAAAAGGTTCGCCATGAGCTATTCTGCCTATAAATAGAGTAAGCATCTTGTCTGGGGAAACCACATAGTCGGACTAAGCCATGAGAGATATCCAGAATTCAAACTGATGTCATTTAAATATCTAGAAGAGTTGTGGCTCCAAGAGATAGGAGGCGTATGAAAAGAATGCAGATTCTCATCAAGTTCAGAGATCTTTAGAGCTTGAGCCAAAG